TTGCTTGCCCTCATTTTTCCGAGTTCATGTTTGGAAGACGTATTTGCCCAAGGTGTTATCCCACTCTTAAGTGACTGGCTCCGATTTTCTCAGCTTAATAGACTAATCCAATGTGAGCAATTAGGAAACAAAACAAAACAAAACAAAACACAAAACGCTGTCCCCTACCTTGGTACTGAAAGCTTGTTCTTGTCTTGAACAGCTGAAGGTGCTTCTTTGTCCTAGTGTGCCCCTTCTTAAACACAAGACTTAACCTGTGAGTGTTGGATTAATGCACTCACTTCCCCCAGTATATCAGAGACTTATATTTTAAATTCTCGGGTGCCTTAAATACAAAGGCAAAGTAAATCATTTATTTATTTTCTTCCTACCACATATGTTAAAGTTATCCACCTGTCCCTACACCCTCCAAGAATTACCTAGTTTTAGGAGAAATAGCACTAATGACCTCTTGGATTGGATTTGAGTTTTGGTTTCTAGTCTTTTCTTGTAATACAATGAATTTGCTCATTTGAATTTAAAGTTAGACCAATTATAAATGACGAATGACAAGAGAGTAGATATGAGGTTTAAAATGGCTTTTAAAAATAAAGTAGGATTACCTAAGGTTAAACCTTTGACATTTACTGAGTCTTATAGACATGGATTCTCAAAGAACTTCTTATATAAAGATTTTCTTGACTCTCTTCATCTTAGCCCATATAAATTTCTGGATGAAATGAGACTTTTGAGTCATGTGCTCTTAACTCCCTTGTCAGGTTTATGAAGAAAATGAGACCCTGGTAATAAATGAATGTCTAGGTCAATTCACATGCATGTATATGCTGGCATATGGAAGAAAATCTTGAGGGCATTGCTGCATTCATATTTCTTAATATCAAATTATTAAAAAAAGGCCATAGGCATGACTTCATGTTCTTTTAGCAGTTACACAATATTCAGTGACTAGTGTGAAGTCTGGTGATAGATATTAAGAATCATTCCTACTGAAGTGGTTATAAGGTTATTAATGAAAACTGATTTTTTAATTTACAAAGGGAGCAGAGTTTTCAGGACAAACAAAAATAATAGAATTATACATTAAAATTTCAGACTTTGCTTTTGGAAAAAAAACTTTCTGCTGCAATATTGTGACTTCTAACAACTGATTCACATTTCTGAATCTTGATTTTTAATAGTGAATTGCATACCTCTTTTTCAACAGAATCTCAAATTATATACTTTTTT